ACGATAACATAAAGAAAACCTAACCACAGTTAGCAACATCGATGGTTTCATGGAAACGGTAACATAAACAATAGTTAAAAAGAGTTTATATATAAACATAATCTTTGACGATGATAAGTACGGTTTATACAAAACAATTGTTAACCTTACTAACATCAGTAAACCATCACTTAACATTGGCAATAACATCTATAACACCAATCAATAGATTGAAGTTGTAATCCATATCTCCTGCAGTTTCACAAATTATATTTCAAAACGTTAAATTGAGTGGAAATCTAGAACATGTACGTTCTTCTGGCATATGGATAAGACACATACATAAATATCATAGAACATTATACAGCACAACAAACTAATAGACTTTTCAATAAAAAAAACTGGCTCTTTAGCTGATATCGTTAGCAAATATCTGCCCTAAATACATAATTTTGTTAAAACTGTAGGAGAAATGAGGTAGCCGACAAACGGAGAGGTAACATGAATGTTAGACACGTCATTCAATCCATCAGCACTGGAACATGTCATTTATGTAGCGTGTGTTTTAGCTATAGCTGTGTTTGTGAGCTCCTTTTAAACATTAAACGGTTTTGTCCCGAAGTTTTTAATGAAATCTTTATATATGTAGTTTTTTCTTATTCAATTTTGCCAATGTATATGCTTCATTTATACTTCATGCCAACGGAATGATCTCGGATTATTTAACAACGAAGAAACCTCCCTTGATATACTGACCAAGTATTTCTCCATGTGAGACGGTAGGTTAACATCAAAAACATAATATCTGTCCAAAATACATCTTTGAATTGAATTAAATTTTTTTTTTGATCGGAAGTTATTTACGACAGATGTCTCTGAAAATATATTAGTTATAATGGCTTGAGTTTCATGCATGATAACTACTGTCTGGAGGGAAAAATGATTATATGTGTTAATTTGTATTAAAAGGCCTGTTTCTGTCAACAAGATTCTGGTACAATGTACCTTCGGTGAATCTTCCTGCCATAGAACTACAATGACCCTCCTGCAGAATTTAAATCATTGAAGGTTTCGTCCATCAAATTATCAAATTAGAGGGACACTACACTACAAAATTTTGAAAACGGAAATGTTTAAAAGCGGTAACACTCAAGGGTTCGAAATCGTGACCAATTCATACCTTGCCGCAATATATGTCTTAAGCGTAAGCAGGCAACACTAAAGAGAAAATGCAGATCTTAAATAGTCCCAGGTTTATAAACGCTACAGAGAAAGATTCCGTTAACACAATACATAGTGTCTAATTGCTGGTCAAACGAGTACCTATCAGCTCAGAAAAAAACACAATAATGAGGATTGTTGAACGAAGATATGGTTGAACAATATCTACCAATAAATAAATCGATAAGAAAAGGATTGAAAATAGCCAAACAATAAAAAAAACATGGGGGACCGTATACCTGAATGAGGAGATATCATTTAATTGCTTTGTTTAAAAGCCAACGGATGGACATAATGTTTACTGTAAGTTTGTATACATTGTACAATGTACAACAAATCGTCAAGGACATTAATACTTTATTCCAATAAAAACGTGTACCAGCTGGACTAATAGTTCGAGACAAACAATATCTTGACTAGGTTTAAGATTTGGTCGGGAGTTCCTTATTCATCTTTATACTACTAATTACCTACCATGTTCACAGAATCCCAAGCAGGATACAGCTTATTGTAAATTATCCCGTCCTTTAGTCTCCACATCAGTCTCTAACATAATAAGACATCTTTTATTGAGGACAATATAGCATACTGATTGCGTACACATTATTTAGCGCAAGGTACTAATATTAATTTCAACTGATACTAAGACAATAATCACTAAACCTATAATTTACATATTAAGGTTTCAAGAGTCAGTAGTTCATTCCTTATCTCAACGGTCACTTTCGTATCTCAACGATAGCTTCCTTATCTCAAAGGTCACCTCCCTGTCTCAACGGTAGCTTCCCTATCTCAAAGGTCACTTCCCTGTCTCAAAGGTCACTTCCCTATCACAATGGTAGCTTCCCTATTTCAAAGGTCACTTCCCTATCTCAAAGGTCACTTCACTATCTCAACGGTAGCTTCCCTATCTCATCGGTCACTTCGTTATCTCAACGGTCATTTCGTTATCTCAACGGTCATTTCGTTATCTCAACGGTCATTTCGTTATCTCCACGGTCGCTTCCTTATCTCAACGGTCACTTCCTTATCTCAACGGTCACTTCCCTATCTCAACGGTCACTTCCTTATCTCAACGGCCACTTCCCTATCTCAACGGTCACTTCCTTATCTCAACGGTCACTTCCTTATCTCAACGGTCATTTCGTTATCTCAACGGTCATTTCGTTATCTCAACGGTCATTTCGTTATCTCCACGGTCGCTTCCTTATCTCAACGGTCACTTCCTTATCTCAACGGTCACTTCCCTATCTCAACGGTCACTTCCTTATCTCAACGGTCACTTCCTTATCTCAACGGTCACTTCCCCATATCAACGGCCACTTCCCTATCTCAACGGTCACTTCCTTATCTCAACAGTCCTTCTTTATCTCATCGTTCACTTCGTTATCTCATCGGTCACTTCCTTATCTCAACGGTCACTTAGTTATCTCAACGGTCACTTCTCTATCTCATCGGTCACTTCGTTATCTCAACGGTCATTTCGTTATCTCAACGGTCGCTTCCTTATCTCAACGGTCACTTCCTTATCTCAAAGTCACTTCCTTATCTCAACGTTTATTTCCTTATCTCAACGGTAACTTTCCTATCTCCACGGTCACTTTCCTATCTCAACGGTCAATTCCCTATCTCAACGGTCACTTCCTTATCTCAACGGTCACTTCCTTATCTCAACGGCCACTTCCCTATCTCAACGGTCACTTCCCCATATCAACGGTCACTTCCTTATCTCAACGGTCACTTCCTTATTTCAACGGTCACTTCCCTATCTCAATGGTCAGTTCCTTATCTCAACGGTCACTTTCCTATCTCAACGGTCACTTCGTTATCTCAACGGTCACTTCATTATCTCAATGGTCACTTTCCTATCTCCACGGTCACTTTCCTCTCTCAACGGTCACTTCCCTATCTCAACGGTCACTTCCTTATCTCAACGGCTACTTCCCTATCTCAACGGTCACTTCCCTATATCAACGGTCACTTCCTTATCTCAACGGTCACTTTCTTATCTCAACGACCACTTCCCTATCTCAGCGGTCACTTCCCTATCTCAAAAGTCCTTCTTTATCTCATCGTTCACGTCGTTATCTCATCGGTCACTTCCTTCTCAACGGTCACTTAGTTATCTCAACGGTCACTTCTCTATCTCATCGGTCACTTCGTTATCTCAACGGTCATTTCGTTATCTCAACGGTCGCTTCCTTATCTCAACGGTCACTTCCTTATCTCAAAGTCACTTCCTTATCTCAACGTTTATTTCCTTATCTCAACGGTAACTTTCCTATCTCCACGGTCACTTTTCTATCTCAACGGTCAATTCCCTATCTCAACGGTCACTTCCTTATCTCAACGGTCACTTCCTTATCTCAACGGTCACTTCCCCATATCAACGGTCACTTCCTTATCTCAACGGTCACTTCCTGATTTCGACGGACACTTCCCTATCTCAATGGTCAGTTCCTTATCTCAATGGTCACTTTCCTATCTCAACGGTCACTTCGTTATCTCAACGGTCACTTCATTATCTCAATGGTCACTTTCCTATCTTCACGGTCACTTCCCTCTCTCAACGGTCAATTCCCTATCTCAACGGTCACTTCCTTATCTCAACGGCCACTTCCCTATCTCAACGGTCACTTCCCTATATCAACGGTCACTTCCTTATCTCAACGGTCACTTCCTTATTTCAACGGTCACTTCCCTATCTCAATGGTCAGTTCCTTATCTCAACGGTCACTTTCCTATCTCAACGGTCACTTTCCTATCTCAACGGTCACTTCGTTATCTCAACGGTCACTTCATTATCTCAACGGTCACTTTCCTATCTCAACGGTCACTTTCCTATCTCAACGGTCACTTCGTTATCTCAACGGTCACTTCATTATCTCAATGGTCACTTTCCTATCTCAACGGTCACTTTCCTATCTCAACGGTCACTTCGTTATCTCAACGGTCATTTCATTATCTCAACGGTCACTTCCTTATCTCAACGGTCACTTCGTTATCTCAACGGTCACTTCTCTTTCTGAACGACTACTGTATGTCTCCAGTTAAAATAATTTAAATTATTACTTGTAGACAATCGTATACAAATCAAACAAACTTAAAATCTACAAGCAATAAAAATGAAATCTATAAGATATCGATCTCAAGGAGAACAGTCGCATTTGTGTCTTAAAACATACAATGACGTATAAACACTTACAACACATGTAACTCATCTCTGGTATACAAAAATATCAAAACACTGATCACAAGGAACCATTCTAGTGAATTACCAACAAGTCAGTCCGCCTGATTTATACAATGTATAACCGTCCGCGACCAACAGGGACCATTTAGGGACCATGGGGACAGTGTTTGGGTTTCATAAGCGGATAAAATTAATGCTGCATTCCCGATTTCAATCACCAAATTAAATGGAAGTATACAATTATCAGTGTCACGATTACCATAAATCCCTGATTAAATACCGAGGTGGAAACACAGAAAATGACATATTTATTTTTTGAATTTATCTTTGCATTTCAATTGTAGTTTTCTTAAATTGTAATCGATGCGAACCAGTGGAATAAAAACGTCTTATATAATCCGGAAAATGTTATTTAAGTAAAAGTTTCAGCTACCTGAAATATTGACGTTCGGTACAATTTGGAAAAAAGGCTTGACGTTCGTGAACATGCTGAAAAACTGTGTTAATATACATTAATGCATGTATATTCCAATAATCGGGATCGGGGCTCTGGTAGTTGTTATGCTTATGAAACCAAGCACGTGTGGAATATGATAGACACGCACTGTTATAATGGAGTCTCCATGTTGGACACATGATGCGAGTTCGACCCTGGTGTGGGAGAGGGGAGGCGAAGTTGGTGGAAACCTGTGTCCAGGCTAACTTGTTTCCGTGGAGATCGGGAACTTTGAATCTTATCACAAACAGGACAGGCACTTAGACTCGTCACGGCGTTTTCCCGTACGAGTATGCCCCTTCGAGGAGGTCTAGGGGACTGCCACTGTTCGGCCGGTATACGGTAGATTTGGGCGTCCTCTGACGAACTAGAGCTTACCGAATCATGGTCAACACTTTCGTTTCTCGACACTGAGTTCGTTCTTCGTTGTGATTTATCATAATTCTGAATCTTTATAATTGGCGTAATGTGTTGAGGGGTAGTGTGTTTTTGAGATGATGGCGTCATTTTATGACACGGTGCCTGTAGGGATCGGTGCTGTAGAGGTGGTGGTCGTAAGAGATGAGGTGATGGCGGGTTAAGTTTTTGTGACGGCACTGTTAAAGTGTGCTGCTGTACCGGAAGTGTCAATGTATGCTGTTTCACTAATGTATGTGGTCGTTGCGGTAGGGGCGAGCGTGGTACAGGTGTCTGCGGTTGAGGGGTGCGACATATGGGCGTGCGTTGTCCACTGTCTTGGCTAGGCTGTGACGTGAGATCTGATGGTCGCCCCGACCGCACTGGTTCGGATGACAAACTTGAAAATTTTGTACATTTAATCAATAGAGGAGTTTTTGGTTCCGATGAAACACTTGGAAATTTTGTGGCTTTAAGTTGTACTTTCCTACGGTTACCATGGAGACATGGCTCTATCCCTTTCAAAGTAGGATCACTAACTTCCAAAAACGGCATGCTTTTATTAAGATCCAAAGAATAATGTGAACGGGCACCACAACTGTATTGTCGTCGCCTGGCATTTAAGCACTGACGGTTAGCACAACACTTAGCATTAGGATGTAACGTTTGGGCGGATGGGTAGCTATCGTTGTTGGGTGGACATATGGTGTCTGATTTCACTTTCAAAATGATTCCACCCGGACTAAGAAACTGATGTTGTAATTGATGTTGTTTTTGTACCCAGTCAGCTGTGGCTATTTCCATGTCCATGACAACAACGGGAAGTTGTTTCGATTCATCCTCAGAATGCTGTCGGTCAAATGATATGGTAGGCCGAACTCTCCTCAATATCTCATCCCTGTTACAAGCACCGACGGTGTTGGCATGCTCGGATAACGTACCACTGTCAAAACTGAGAAACTGAACCGGGATGTTGGAACCTTTCGATTTAATCTCACTTTGAGCGGCGTTGTTACCATCGCAGTTGTCATTTCCGTCTGAGGTTGGAGGTCCGTTTCCGAATGAATATGTCATTTGTTCGGCAGACTCCGGAGCACCGTATTCGGCTTGGTGTTTTAGTTTGTACTGTGCCTTGATGTGTCTGACCAGATTTATTAAATGCTTTCTAACTTTAGTCCGGTAGAATACATATATAACTAGTAGTACTAACATGCCACCGAGAACTGCTGCGGTGTTGTAACCGACACTAGGATCGTAAGATTGATAGAACTGTGCTTGCTGTTGGCGATACCATTCTTCCGAACCAAAAAGTACAGGAGCTGAGGCGTTGCTTGACTTTCCGGTAGAGAGCCTTAACGTATCATTGTTGCTGTTCGTCGTCGTTAAGTTGACAGTCACGTGGTACATTCCCAAATTAGAGGCATTTTGATAGCTTCCGGTTGCTCCAGTATGCAAATCATCTCTTATCATTTCGTCATGAGGCTGTAAGTATAATAACATTGAATTAAAACATTGTTATCACTTTTCTCTGTATTTATCATACTGTTTCAACGTTACCAAATATGAGACCAGATTATAAAAATGGCTATTTAGAAAATGTTACTAAAAAAATAAATAAAAGGAGATGTGACCACTGTCGTGATCGTGCGATGCATAGGACTATTCAAGATGGCGGACCAACGTAACACCGGAAGGTAAGCTCTGCTTTCAAACGGTAATATCCATAATTTATATACTCACTATGATCATGACACACATTGTATCTGATTCTCAAATAGAGCTAATATTGTTGTACGTATCTATCTGGATGATGATAGACTTAAAATGTAGTGCAATCTGCGTGTAAACCTCGCCAACATGCCGATCTGTTGGATCCGAGCGGGTGTGAGCTCAACTATCAGCCCTAGCTAAAACACTTGAACAAATTCAGTCAGAGTTTTAATTTCAAGTTGAAGATTTGATAAGCCTCTAATCGAAGGACAATCTCCTGTGACTGAATGGGAAGCGTGATTGAAGAAAAAAACACAGGAAATTTTGACCATGCAAGGCTCGGTCTCATCTCAAAATGTACGGAGACCGAGCCATCTCATGGTCAAAATTTCCTGTGTTTTTTCTCTCCAATCACGCTTCCGATTCCGCAAGAGAAGATTGTCATTCTAATAGAGGCTTATCTAATCTTTAATTTAACATTAAAAGTCTGACTGGATGTATTTAATACTTTTAGCTAGGGCCAAAAGTTAAGCTCACATCCGTTTGGATCTAACAAATCGGCATACTGACAAAGTCTACATGCAGATTTCATTGCATTTTAAGTTTATCATCATCCAAATAGATACGTACAACAATATTAGCACTATTTGCGAATCAGATACAATATGTGTCACGATCATAGTGAGTATATAAATTATGGATATTACTTTTTGAAAGCAGAGCTTACCTTCCGGTGTTACGTTGGTCCGCCATCTTGAATAGTCCTATCAGTCGTACGATCACTACAGTGGTGACGGCGATTGCTGAATGAGAGCTGAGAGTCAGCTGATGACGACACGACGATCTGATGTCCTGTTCAAGCTGTTTCTGTAATCACCGATTGATGATCGTCTATATATGTCCACTGTTTGACTTACCTTAGGCTATGTCGACTGTGTGACTTACTAAGGGTTATGTCGACTGTGTGACTTACTAAGGATTATATCAACTGTGTGACTTACTAAGGATTATATCAACTGTGTGACTTACTAAGGGTTATATCAACTGTGTGACTTACCTTAGGGTTATATCAACTGTGTGACTTACTTAGGGTTATGTCGACTGTGTGACTTACTAAGGGTTATATCAACTGTGTGACTTACTAAGGGTTATATCAATTGTGTGACTTACCTAGGGTTATATCAACTGTGTGACTTACCTTAGGGTTATATCAACTGTGTGACTTACTTAGGGTTATGTCGACTGTGTGACTTACTCAGGGTTATATCAACTGTGTGACTTACCTAGGGTTATGTCGACTGTGCGACTTACCTAGGGTTATGTCGACTGTGTGACTTACTAAGGGTTATGTCGACTGTGTGACTTACTCAGGGTTATATCAACTGTGTGACTTACTCAGCGTTATGTCGACTGTGTGACTTATTCAGGGTTATATCAACTGTGCGACTTACCTAGGGTTATGTCGACTGTGTGACTTACTAAGGGTTATGTCGACTGTGTGACTTACTCAGGGTTATATCAACTGTGTGACTTACTCAGCGTTATGTCGACTGTGTGACTTACTTAGGGTTATGTCGACTGTGTGACTTACCTAGGGTTATGTCGACTGTGCGACTTACCTAGGGTTATGTCGACTGTGTGACTTACTCAGGGTTATGTCGACTGTGTGACCTACTCAGGGTTATATCAACTGTGCGACTTACCTAGGGTTATGTCGACTGTGTGACTTACTAAGGGTTATGTCGACTGTGTGACTTACTCAGGGTTATATCAACTGTGTGACTTACTCAGCGTTATGTCGACTGTGTGACTTACTTAGGGTTATGTCGACTGTGTGACTTACCTAGGGTTATGTCGACTGTGGGACTTTAGAAGGCTTATGTCGACTGTGTGACTTACTCAGGGTTATGTCGACTGTGTGACCTACTCAGGGTTATATCAACTGTGCGACTTACCTAAGGTTATGTCGACTGTGTGACTTACTAAGGGTTATATCAACTGTGTGACTTACTCAGCGTTATGTCGACTGTGTGACTTACTCAGGGTTATGTCGACTGTGTGACTTACTCAGGGTTATATCAACTGTGTGACTTACCTAGGGTTATGTCGACTGTGTGACCTACCTAGGGTTATGTCGACTGTGTGACTTACTCAGGGTTATGTCGACTGTGTGACTTACCTAGGGTTATGTCGACTGTGCGACTTACCTAGGGTTATGTCGACTGTGTGACTTACTAAGGGTTATGTCGACTGTGTGACTTACTCAGGGTTATATCAACTGTATGACTTACTCAGGGTTATATCAACTGTGTGACTTACTCAGGGTTATGTCGACTGTGTGACTTACCTAGGGTTATGTCGACTGTGTGACTTACTCAGGGTTATGTCGACTGTGTGACTTACTCATGGTTATGTAGACTGTGTGACTGGGTTATGTCGACTGTGTGACTGGGTTATGTCGACTGTGTGACTTACTTAGGGTTATGTAGACTGTGTGACTGGGTTATGTCGACTGAGTGACTGGGTTATGTCGACTGTGTGACTTACTCAGGGTTATATCAACTGTGTGACTTACCTAGGGTTATGTCGACTGTGCGACTTACCTAGGGTTATGTCGACTGTGTGACTTACTAAGGGTTATGTCGACTGTGTGACTTACTCAGGGTTATATCAACTGTGTGACTAACTCAGCGTTATGTCGACTGTGTGACTTACTCAGGGTTATGTCGACTGTGTGACTTACTCAGGGTTATATCAACTGTGCGACTTACCTAGGGTTATGTCGACTGTGTGACTTACTAAGGGTTATGTCGACTGTGTGACTTACTCAGGGTTATATCAACTGTGTGACTTACTCAGCGTTATGTCGACTGTGTGACTTACTTAGGGTTATGTCGACTGTGTGACTTACCTAGGGTTATGTCGACTGTGAGACTTACCTAGGGATATGTCGACTGTGTGACTTACTCAGGGTTATGTCGACTGTGTGACTTACTCAGGGTTATATCAACTGTGCGACTTACCTAGGGTTATGTCGACTGTGTGACTTACTAAGGGTTATGTCGACTGTGTGACTTACTCAGGGTTATATCAACTGTGTGACTTACTCAGCGTTATGTCGACTGTGTGACTTACTTAGGGTTATGTCGACTGTGTGACTTACCTAGGGTTATGTCGACTGTGTGACTTACCTAGGGTTATGTCGACTGTGTGACTTACTCAGGTTTATGTCGACTGTGTGACTTACTCAGGGTTATCTCTACTGTGCGACTTACCTAGGGTTATGTCGACTGTGTGACTTACTAAGGGTTATATCAACTGTGTGACTTACTCAGCGTTATGTCGACTGTGTGACTTACTCAGGGTTATGTCGACTGTGTGACTTACTCAGGGTTATATCAACTGTGTGACTTACTCAGGGTTATGTCGACTGTGTGACCTACCTAGGGTTATGTCGACTGTGTGACTTACTCAGGGTTATGTCGACTGTGTGACTTACCTAGGGTTATGTCGACTGTGCGACTTACCTAGGGTTATGTCGACTGTGTGACTTACTAAGGTTTATGTCGATTGTGTGACTTACTCAGGGTTATATCAACTGTATGACTTACTCAGGGTTATATCAACTGTGTGACTTACTCAGGGTTATGTCGACTGTGTGACTTACCTAGGGTTATGTCGATTGTGTGACTTACTCAGGGTTATGTCGACTGTGTGACTTACTCATGGTTATGTAGACTGTGTGACTGGGTTATGTCGACTGTGTGACTTACTTAGGGTTATGTAGACTGTGTGACTGGGTTATGTCGACTGAGTGACTGGGTTATGTCGACTGTGTGACTTACTCAGGGTTATGTCGACTGTGTGACTTACTCATGGTTATGTCGACTGTGTGACTGGGTTATGTCGACTGTGTGACTTACTCAGGGTCCGCTATAATCTTAGGCTTCCAACATTTGAATGGTCGCCTACTAAATATTAGCTATGTACCTGCTACTATATCAAACATGATGACTGCGATGATGTGTTTTTTAAAAGCATAGAAATACGCACAGCGTGAAACAATCATATCAACACATAGGCACAACTAATGATTACGAAAACTCCCGGCATGCAATCGGTGTCACCAAATTCTGGCGACTGGTCAATACCGACAGATATCACCACCAGCTACCTGCTTACAATCATCAAATGGAATCACAAGTAAGATAAATCTTTTAATTGATGTTTTCTTAATAAGACTGACATGACGGGAAAAGACCACAGATTATCAGAGTGAGGTCAAAACTGGTAAGCTCCAGGACCCACGCAATCATACCAATTATGTCCCAACCTGAATCTAGATTCCGTAAAACATGTTGCCCCAGGAAGGTTCGATTCCTAAATGGTGACAGATTTTCTTATGGAAGTAATTGGCCTCTATTAAATGTTTAGTTATAGCACATTTTAATATATGTGTGAGGATTTAGTGAAATGTACGTGTTTCCCTAAAAGGGTAGTTAGTTTTTACTGTTAACATCCGGTTGACCTCTGACCCTATTTGTTCAAAGACTAGTTAGAACTAAACAGTAGTTATTAAACTCTTTCAAACATGGTTAAACTTAATTGCCAAAACATTTTTTCATCTTTTCATCGCACGGCTATAAATTTGTTGAGACAGGTTAAACTGATGTTTTTGAGTTTCAAGTTTGCTTTTTAAAGCCCTTTACGTGGCATCAATTAGTGAATTTTTCACTAACCGATGGTTAACACAGATTAAG